AGAATGTAGTAATTATTACTAAATCTGCAAGTATATTAATTAAAGTATTAAAATTACTAGTTGAATCTATTTATAATATTAAATTCTTTTAGCATTATTAACAAATTTATTTTGAATTTCATATAAAAATAACTAATAATTTATTTTTGATAAAGAATTAGATTAAAAATAAAATTTATTAAAAAACTCTTTAGTCTAGCATTCTTTTTTCTATAACTGCTCAAAATTTATTAAATATATTTATATAGTTAGTGTATTTTCTCTATTTTCAGAAGTATATAAAATATTTGTTATTACCTTTTTACTTTAAAAAAAGATAAAAAATTAGAATTATTAGCTTTAACAATTTCAAATTGTTCTAAATTATTTATATTCTCAATTTCAGACTCATAAGTTTTAAGTTATCTTGTATTAGTTAAAGCAATATTGCTAGAATTTTAACTAAACTTTTTATTATAATTTTATTATAGCAATTTAAACAAATTATATTATTTACTTTGAGATAAAATAAAAGTTTTATTAGCCTGTTCCTTTGTAATAACATTTTTAAGTTATTATTTTTAGTGTTTGACTTCTTTTTATATAAAATAATCAGATATGACTCTATAATACTACTAGCTAATATTATTTTTGTCTTTTAAATAAAGTAAATCAAGAGCCAGATTTCTTTTTAGATTCTTTTGTATAGTGAATATTAATACTCTTTTAATGCTAAGAATTGCTTTATAGTGATTTTTGTTTAGTGAAATGTTTATATTATCAAAAAGTAAATAAAAATAAATTATTCAGATAATTGATTAGCATCAACTAATTAAACAAATATCTTTCTATATATATTTAAGTGAAACTTTTTCAAATTGGGAAATAGTTAAAAAGATTTTTACACAATTTATTAAAGATTATTTATAAAGTTTATAATACTCTTTTCAGAAGGTCATTGTGGTTTATTTTAATAATATAACATGAATTAAGTTATTAAGCAAACTTGTGGCTTTTATATCCTTTAATAAATTGGTAGAATTCAAAAGAATTAATAGGGATTTATTAGACTTTTATTATACAATTTTTACCTAACATAAAATTACAAAATTATAATATTAAAGCTCAATGAAACCTCTTAAATCTATTAATTTATAAAGCATAATATAAAAACACAATTTACTTAATAACCTAATTTATATTACATTATAAAAATAAACCACAATGGCCTTTTGAAAAGAGTATTATAAACTGTATAAATAATCTGTAATGAATTGTGTAATAATCTTTCTAACTATTTGGGAAATATCTAAAGCGAAAACAAATCATGTGATCAACCTACTGTTGTTAAGCAAAATTATTTTTGGCAAATGCAAAAGTCGAAACTAAACCTGGCAAAAGTCAAAACTGGTGAAACATTAAATTATAGCAAAACAGCAAACACTAGCAAAACTTCAGTAAAGCTAAAACCTCTGGAGAAAGTTAAACATAGCAAAGATCAAATCCTCTTAAACTTTAAAAAGAATGCTAAGCCATGTTAGTAAATTAAAATATTTTATATATGGCTATTAAGCACAGCATGTAATTTATAATATACAAAAGCAATAAACAAGGTGATAGCCTTTTGTTTGTATTCGAATATTATTAAAAAAACTAGACTTCAGGCTTTGGAACTTATAATAAATAAATTCAGCCTTGAAAATTCAAAGCATGGAATCCTGCTTTCTTTTAGTAGTACTATCTATATATTAATATAATTCATATAAAATAAACTTATCTAAATATTTAAATAATTTATTGTATAGTGTTAAGATTTTTTCTTTTTAATATTTTATTGTTAAATTTTATTAAATATTATACATATTTAAGTAATTTATTAACAATATTATTATTGACAATTATTTTCTAATGCTCTGTTCTAAATCTCAGAGCTAACTTTAAGTAAATAATTGTTGTATTATTAACTTACAATAGATTAAATAAAGTATATTTAGATTATTAATCAAAAAACCCATGTATATAGCAGCATGATTCTAAACATATATGTGGCAAAATAAATTTGTGTTAGGTTGTAATTAAATATTAGGTTGGGTAAAAGGGCTATGGGTCAAAATCCTGACAAGCCAAATCCAGATAGGTCATAATCCTGACAAAAAAATCCTGACAGAAAAAATTCTGACAGTTAAAAAACTGACAGTTAAAAATGCTGACAATTATGAAAATAAGCTAACACTAGCCTAATTCTTATCTAAATTGACCTAACCCTAAAGTTAATTAAATTATAAGAGGCTACTTCACTTTAAACATACCCTATATTCAGGATTTTTGATTGCTGAGATTTTGCCTATCGGGATTTTTTTGTCGGGATTATAACTTGTTGAGATTTTGCTTGTCAGGATTTGACTGGCATTCAGTAAAAGTCTATGCTAGAAGTAGTAATTATATCTATTCTAAAATCCAAATCTGAGCATCTGTAGGTAGGTTATTTAGGGGTGACCCGGGTTGGATTATGGCCCACCCGGGTATTCAACCCGCGGATCAAGAAAAAGAAAGGGAGAGAGAAAGTGAGTGAGAGAGAAAGAAAAAGAGAGAAAAAAGGGAGAGAGAAAAAAAGGGAGAGAGAGGTAAAAATAGCATAAAACGGCGTTTTTTTTTTTTTAAGTTTTTTTTTTCTTTTTTTTCCTAAGCTAATTTTTTTTAATTTGTCTCTCTTTTTTTTTAACCTACTTTTTAGCCACCTGCAGGTGACCTGTAGTAAAATTTTTTTCCATTACCTAGTGTTCACCCGGGTTGGGATTTTCATGACGGGTTAGAACACTAAGCACGATTTATATACTAGGGGCATGCCCTAAAATTTTACCGTGCCACCTACCCTACTTCTGTGAAATCATCCTTTTTGCTTTAGATTTGTTGGGTTGAACAAGCCACAATTTTAAATTTGATTTAGGCATATTGAACATCATTCAACAGTATTTGGAACTGCCTTGAATTACGTTGTGCTTCGTATCTTAGGTCTTGATCCCGATCATCCGGTAATGTTAAAAAGTAGAGAAACGTTGCACAAACTCGGTAAGTGGTTTAATGTTGATTTATTATTCTTGCAAGAATACATATTAATTATGTGCAAAATTTCGGGGACTTAATAGGAGGCGCAATTGGTGCGCCTTCATGGGGAAAATTTTGGCTAGCATGTTTAAATGTGTATGACTGAGAAGGGCTTAATCCAATTCCACCAGAATTATGGTGATTTTCTCAAAAAAATTTTTTTTTCCTTTTTTTTTTATAATTGCATACTTACTTTCTTTTAATAAATGAAAAAAGGCTTCTTCCATACTCTGCACCGTTTCATCCAGGTCGTTTTTGGGTTCATACTCGTGCAGTATACCTCCCAATGGGATACTGTTATGGACATAGAATAAGTGCCGAAGTTACTCCATTAATCGAGCAACCTAGGCAGGAATTATATGTTCAACCATTTGAGACAATTAATTGGTCTAAAGCCCGAAACAACATTGCAGAAGTTGACCTTTATGCTCCGCATACCAAAATATTAAATTTTTGCAATTGTATATTTAGCTTTTTATAATTTATTCATTCTTTAGTAATTGTTATTGAAGATTAATTCATTGTTATTTTAGCTATATTAAGTATTTATGAAAAACTTCCTAATTTTCTTGGAATTCGTGATATTTCTCTTCAAGAGAGTTATGAATTAGATGAAAATACGGATTTTCTTGATATTGCACCTGTAAACATAGACTTTTACATTGTTATTTTTATTTTATTTTATTCACAATATCCAAGATTGAGAATTTTTTTAAATTGTTAGGTTAGTAAAGTAATGCACGTTCTTTGTACATACTATGAGGAAGGGCCAGATTCTAAAGCATTCAAGCTTTCTAAAGAAAGATTAATTGATTATATGTGGTATGAAAATCTTAGTTTCTTTAAATTATTTTTAGATTTTATTTCTTAAGTTGATATTAAAGGTTATTATTTGTTTAGGCTAGGTCCAGAAGGAATGATGATGTGTGGTACAAATGGTACTCAAGTTTGGGACAATGCGCTTATAGTCCTTGCCGTAATTGAAGCAGGTAGTAATTGCGTTTTATCAAATTTAGATGCTCAATTATTTAAACTTGTTCTCTTGATAGGACTGGCAGATGATCCTTCAAATCACCAATCAATGATACATGCACTCGAATTTTTAGACGATGCACAAATAAAAAAGAATCCCAAAGATAATGAAAGATGTTATCGTTATAAAGCATTAGGTGCTTGGGGTTTTAGTACTCGTGAATAGGGATACAATGTTTCAGATTGTTCTAGTTTAGGTGTCAAAGCTGTACTTAATCTTCAAAAAAATCTTAGGTATTTTTCTGAGCCAAAATTTGATGCATGAAAAAAACTATTGAAAACGCATGTTTATTTTTGATTTGTGGTAAAAAAAATTAATTACACGCCAGATTTAGTATCTAAAGAACGATTTTGTCAAACTGTTGATATATTACTATCTATGCAAAATACTGATGGAGGATTTGCGAGTTACGAGCGTACTAGAGGCCTAAAAATTCTTGAATGGTTAAATCCTGCAGAAGTTTTTGGAAATCTTATGATTGAACATAGTTATCCAGAATGTACAGCTTGTGTCTTAACAGCTCTAAATACGTTTCAGAAATGGTATCCTGCTTATAGGGCGGATGAAATTAAGTAATAATTTTTTATAAATTTTATTAAGCTTATAATTATTTTATATATTAAATTTTTTCTTTTGTTTAGGCAAATTTCCAAAAAAGCAATTATATATCTACAAGATGAGAATGGAGGTTGGTATGGCTCTTGGGCTATTTGTTACACATATGCTGCCATGTTTGTTATTCAATGTCTTGAAAATTTTGGTGAAACATATGAAAACAGGTATCATATGTATTTCATAAGCATATTAATTAATCTTGCGTCATGGAAATAAATCAATTAAAATTAATGATTTTGTCAATTAGCGAGGTAGTTAGAAAGGGATGTGACTTCTTGATTTCTAAACAAAAGGATGATGGTGGTTGGGGTGAATCCTATAAGGTTTATATCATTATATTTAAAAGATTTTATTTATTTATTATATTTAAGATTATTTATTTATTTGCTTAATAAGTAGTCATGCGAAGAAGTGGCTTATATACACCATGAAAACTCACAAGTTGTAAATACTACTTGTGCATTGCTTGCTTTAATGGCAGGTAAATATCCAAATGAGAGACCAATTCAACGTGGTATACAGGTATATATCGATGATAAAAGTTATTCTTATTTCTATTATATAATGAAATTAGTACTTATATCTTTATCAAAACCGCCTTGTTTATAGCTGATCGCTTAACGACAATTCCCAACAGGTGAATGGAAGCAAGAGGCTATAGAAGGAGTATTTAACAAGAATTGTGCAATTAGCTATCCGAATTATAAATTCATTTTTACAATTTGGGCATTAGGCAAATATGCTAAAATTTACAATAATTCTGCAATTTTCTAGAAAAAGAGCAAAAATATTAGCAATATAATATAGTTGAATGGAATTATATTTGGATATTTATTATGTCACAACTATTAAAAATATATTAAGAGATAAATCATGGTTAAAGGTATGGTGCGGATAGCTTTAACTCTCTATAAAAAATAGCTTTATAAAAAATGTTACTTTTTTTAAAAAAAATTTATAAATTATAAAACTAATCTACAAGATTTGTTCTTCTTGTCTTTAAGAACAAAACTTGTAGTTTAAATTTAAATTTAAACCTAGACTTATAGAGCAGTAGCTTTTAAACTTTGGCTATTTTATTAAAAATTTGCAAAAAAGTAAACATATATGTTTTCTCTTTTTGACCAATCAAATAATCTTATACAGACCATGTATATACTAGATTTTCAGTGCGGCTTGCTTCACCGACACTCAACTCACTGACATCTTAGTTCACCGACATTTAATTCACTGACAAGTTCATTTAACGACAGTTTATTTTACCAACAGCTCATTTCACAGACAAAGTAACATCAGCAAAATTAAATAAAGATATATATTGATACATAACGATTTATCAATATATATCAATTTTTTTTAATCAATATATATCGATAAAATAAATATATATCGATATATATCAATAATCGATATGTATTGATAAATAGATAAACATCGATACATAGCTATTAAACGATATGTATTGTTATTAAATATTTCGATGTACATTGATAAGCAATTATATATCGATATATATCTTATGTATCGTTAAAATTCGATATAAGAAAATAATCGATATATACAAATATATATTGAATATTAATGTTTCTAATTTTATCGCTCATGTACGATTATCGATATCTATCGATACTTATCTTGCATAAATTATACAAATATGTATACTACAATAATTAGAACATATACACTTTAAATATAATATACACTTTAAATTATTTAGTGCATGCTTATTTTAAAACATAAAGCAGTTCACTAGATATTCATTCATTTTATTAAATCTTGGAACTATATGAACGGTTCTATCTATATTCTTTAACGGTATACAAGTATAGTATTTAAGCAACATTGATTTTGGATATCCCCATAATTTACTATCTCCTCATACTAGCAAACTAAGGTGAGTTCAAGCGGTTTTTTATTTATCTCTTTATAAAACTTGAATATTATCAGTACCTTTAAAGAAATATTTATATTAGTTATATATTACTCTTGAAGTTAGTGAAAATGAATATATACTCTAACTTCGAGAGTTATTTCGCTTATTATTGTTATTAATCAATTTTTACTATTATTTATTGTTCTATTAAACATATGAAAATTTAATTAATACTTACTAAACCATACCAATTTATTTCGCATTCGCTATCAAAACCGCTAATTGTAATGTTTGAAAATATTGGCTTCACATGAAAACTTGATGAAGTATGAATTATATTGATACTCTCCAAAATAGCAGAAGAAAACATTTCTATATGATGATTTTCGTTAAGAGACATGATCGATTCCTCTTTTAAAAATTCATCAAGGCCACTTAATAAGTTTTGAAAGCCTTCAAGTTGTAGTGGGCCTAGATTATTTTGGTTTTTCTCAAAGAAATCATCCAAATTCTCCAAATTTAGTACCCACAAAGATTGTCCAAACCCTTTTGTTCATCGATATTTTTTTTGAGCTTCTTTTTCAGTTAATTTTTGCCGTTGAACCTAATAATAGCGATTATTTATTCACTGGTTAAAAAAAAAAATTAAATTTTAATTAAATAATAACTTTTACTATAAGTTATATTACATGTTATTATTTAATTAAAATTTAATTTTTTTTAACCAGTACATAGTGATATATATCAATTATTTGCTCTATTTTTAACTTACCGTTCTTATAATTTGTTTCATATAGTCTCTTTTATTTGATATACGATAAGGTCTTTTTATATAATTTTTGTGAAGAGTTTCATAGGTCTCTGTAGTCATACTATTTATTGACCCATATTCATGAATTGCTGATATTAAATGATAATACCAAATATGAAGCTTCAGAAGTTGGAGACCACTTGAATTGTATTTTAAAAAAATTACAACAAACTCTTTGGCCCAATCCATAATGAAAGCCTGTGCAATTTATCATTAGTAATCTGGATTAGTAAAAAAGATAAAAATTTGTTCATATCTGAAGCTCGTTACATGAATTATAAGTAAATGATTCTTCATGTGTAGCAATATATATTTGAAGGAATTTGTAATAAACTTGGCATAAACATTTATTACTAATTCCTGGCCTTTTATAATTCTCATATAGGTTATCAAGAACAAAAATGATTATTTTCATTATATTCTGCAATTCTTCAGCCGTCATGCGTATTAGTTAGATCTATACTCTTCATTATTTTAAAACCTTTATATCTAGGTATCGATACTAATCGACCTTCAAAGGTTTGTAACACATGGCCCCCGCATTATTCAAGTAAAAGTTCTTTAGTATAATCCAACATATACTTAAAGAGGCCAAGGTCCAAAATGTGCATTCTATCAGGCACAATAGCTTCATATATGTTGAAGTTTCTGTAATTTTATTAGTTATGGAATATATTTTTGCACTGTAAATAATGCTTGGGTGTAGTTTAATTTTTTTGGTCTAAATTAAGCTTAATTCAGTCTAAATTAAGCTTAATTTAGGCCAAATTAAGCTTAATTCAGACCAAAAAAAAATTAAATTACACCCAGAACATTTAAATTTTATACCTTAAGCCCCAAAATGCATTTATTTCAGGATGAATTGAATAATTTTGATCATTAGCGTTATTTATTGTCACAGATTAAAATGAAATCTGATCAAAATGAAACTGGGGACCTCTCATACCCACCTTTAGAGCCTATAAAACCTACATATACTCATTTATTAATAAACCTAACTCTAAACCCTACCCATAATGCTAAAAAGAACTCCCAAAAATATCTCCCAAAAAATTTTAAATTTTCCTTAAAAAACAGAAAAATTTTATTTTGATCAGATTTCGTTTTAATCTGTGACATTTATCACTTGCTTTATAGTATCTGGAGTTTGTGGAATGATACTTGTTAAATTAGTATTATTCAAGTCAACCTTAGACACCAAGCATATTGTGCATGGTTTTTTGGAGAAAGAAAGTTGGTAAACATTAGTAAACTTGTGGGCTTCAAGCAAGTCAGCAATAATGGTTGATATTCGTGAAATAAAGGTGATTATATTTCTATATATAACAAAATAAAGCTCGGGTTTTTCAATAATGAGCTTGAGAAGTATCGATATACACTTCTAGAAAATGTTCCTTTGTAACTTTGGTATTCATCAGAGTTTTTCATTTTAGTATCCTTGGCCTTCAAGATCGGAAGATATCCAATTATTGCCTTGGCTTCTGGTTTGTTTTTATGATGGTTTGGGATGTTGCTAAGTGATAAAAATATAGGATGCTCTGAAGATTTTTCTATATAGTCTAGGGTTGTTGCATCTGAATAGAGGATATGCGATAATAAATGTTGCCCTATAAGTAATGCTGATTCTTCTTGCTTCCACCAATTCGTATGATATTGTTCTTCAAAAATTTGATATTTTTCGCTTCCTTTTACTTCTTTTTTGTCTTCATATTTAAGAACCAGTGACTGATTAATACTATCAATTATTAATAAAAACTTTATAGTCTTTATTAATAATTGATAGTAAAAAGTATATCTAACATTATCAAACACTTTAACAGGAATTTCTTTAAACATCATATATGGAATAATAGAATCATCAAGAAATTTCTTTCTGGCTTTGGTTGTTGATAGAAGAGGGGAAGGATCCAACTTGAAGAATTTATTAAAGAAATTAATAAAAGAATCACCAGCTAAATTGGATAATTGGTATTTATTAATTATCTCCATAAACTCTCGATAAGCATCGTTAGGCCATTCAACTCTTGATGGATGATGTAAGTTATTAAAAGCATCATTAAAAGAAGCCCTTTTATAGTCTTCAGGATCACCTTCATCAGACTTATTTTCTGAACATTGCAATTCGTTGATAACATCAAGCAATACATCATTATAAGCTTTATCTTCTACTGGAGAATCCATTTGAAGACATTCAGGTTCCATAAAAGAATGTTCATCTGAATTTAATTCAGATCGAGGTGACATTGACATATTTTTGCTCTAAATGAAATACAATAA